AAAGAGGAATTTTAAATGTAAGTACTGAGAACTAAAAATCGTACAATATTACAAATATCGATTTAATGTTAAAAATAGGCAAAAATTATTATATTTTAAAACAATATTTTTTATACGATTATTTGCTACGAATAAAACTAAACATGAATAGATGGCGATTAGTTGAAAAAAATAGACTTACTATACTTTCGGTAATACGTACGAGAACATTCCTCAGTGTTCGTTGAAACACAAACTAGCAACAATTTTTGCTTTTCGACACTTTTCTGAGTAAGGATCTTGATTACTGAACAAAAACTACAGTACGACTATTTTTGCCCGATTATTAATGTGTACTTACGTTTTTTAGCTTAATACATAATATCGCAAAATATATACAACGCTGAATTTTCTAGCCGAATATTTATATACACTACTGCCCATTAAAATTGCTACACCAAGAAGGCATGCAAGTAACAGAATGATATTTATTGGGCAAACACATTATAGTTGGAAGTGCTTAAATTTTCAGGATATTTGGATGTATAGATCCTGAGGAATCAGTACTCAGAGCAGCCTCCCCTGTCAGAAATAACAGCAGTTATTCTCCTGGGCATCGAGTCGTACATAGATTGGATATCATGGACTGGTACAGCATTCCATGCAGCTTCAGCATTATGCCAAAATTCTTCGACCGTAGTGACTGACGAGTCGTTTGGCAACCATTAACCAGACGTTTTCAGCTGGTGAGAGATCAGGAGAATGTGCTGGCAGGGCAACAGGAGAAAATGTTCTGTGTCAAGGAAGGTCATGATAGTGCGGGCAACATGCGGTCGCGCATTGTCCTGCTGAAACGTAGCAATATGGTGGGCCCGAAGATAAGGTTCGCTTAATTCAGGTAATATGTGCATATTGAAATAAAATAAATTAACTATGTATTAGAACGCAAAAGTAATGGAGTAAAGATATATATCTAGAAGAATCATAAAAAATCATCATACTATCATTAACGACAATGCTTAATTTTTTTAATGTTAGTAATATGTTAATTGATATAAAATAAATTTACGAACTACAAACAAAAATAATGGGGACTATATACTTATTCATTTTAGGGAGCCTTAAAAAAAATCACGATATTATTAATGACACTAATGCTTAATTACTTATGATAATATGAATTAATTGAAATGAAACAAAACAAGCTATGTGCTAAAAAGCGAATTTAAAGGAAAAAAGGTTAATAGGAAATTCGCTTAGGAAAACCGTAGAAAATCGCCATTTACGGATGACTCTTACTTATTGTGCACTACTGACGTTAATATGTTCTACTGGTATTAATGTAATTAGTGCAGTTTTGATAATAACAATTCTAGAACTGGTTTTTCGTAAATTCAGAAATTATTTTTTTTCAGCGGTAGCAGAGATCGTACATTAATATTTTAATGGATTAGAATATAAAGAATTTTGTTTCTTTACTACTTATAAATATTTGAATAGTAAATTAAAGGTCAGATAGAGAAATGCCCACACTCCAAAAATCTTATTAAGTTCAAAATAAGAATTCTATTTATTTATTTTTAAAAATAGGCTTTTGTTGGCTGTCACTGATAAATGTATTTTTCACAAAAGTTAAATGTTGAAGGTATAAATTATCATAAATAGTAATAAAGGTATAAATTATCATATTGATATATTTGGTTATTATTAAGACAGCACCAATACATAGTAGTACATACTGATAATTTGGAAATAAGCGTTTTACGGTCCTCGAAAGGGATACTTACTTGATAGTCTAATAGCATCATGCGAAGTGATACTACATGCATTTTATCTTTGTTCTAATGGGATAAACTACAAAAAACAGGCTTTGCTTATTTCAATACCGCAAAGCCACCAAAAAGGGCAACAAATAATATTAAATAAAATTTTTTAATTATTTTAAGTATATTAAGTGAAAAACTTAGTGGAAGAAACAGGTTAGTGACATTTTCAGAACAAAAAAAAAATTTGCATCTTAACTATTTTATTCCCAATTTACTAGAAAGTGGGACAAATATTTCTTTGTTTTTATTTATTTACCACGACCTAATTTGAAATGAAAATCATACAAGGATACTGAAAATTGATGTAATTAGTTATGTTAAAATTTAAGTGAAAGCAAAAACAGTCCATACCAAATACATTAAATATACCCGTATTTATTCAACCATTTTTTTAATCTCATTAATTCAGATTTATTAATTCCCCTAATAATATCACTTATCTGGTTTTTCCAATTTCTTTAATTGTGTCGGTATATAATTTTCAGCTTGACTTCCAGACTTCGTAGTGTTTCTCAATACTGATTTTTTTATTTATTTTTAAATATTCCCGTGCGAAAGACGGGTATTTAGCTAGTACTCAATAAATATAAAAAAATATTTATTTTTTTAAACCTTAGCATCGTATGTCACTCCTAACGTTTTATTGAAAAAAAGTTGAAGGCAAAATCATAAGTTATATTTAAAAAATTGCATGATTTTACCATTCAGATATTAAAACAATGTGATCAATTGCTCTATACTTACCAGTGAGTAATCAAATAATAACAAGAATAGTGATATAAGCGATACAGAGAATCTTATTCAGACTCATCTTGGCATGCGGTATAGATACACTTCTCCTTTCTTTAATCTAAAACTTAATTGAGGAATGAGAACAGTTAAAAATCGTGAAATAGTCTAAAACAGAAAGATTTATACGCAAATGAACACCTGTTAATACTTAATAGATTTTTTTCGATTACTGCGTGAAACAAATTCCGTGTGTTCTGAGCTTCGGATTATGCTGAACTACAGCAAAAGGCATTTAAAAAAAAGGTATTGTATCTAAGCATTAAAAATAACTTGCATTTCTATAAAAAAAGTTCATATTTCTGCAATAAAGAAACTAAATATAAAGAATAAAATAAAACGTTAATAGTTACAAATGATGCAAAAACAATGATAAATCGGCATAATTAATTATAATTGAAAAATGAATAAACTACACTGGTGACAAAATTAAGAAATGTCAAGCATTTTCGCGCATGCAAGATACCCGCACACCGCTCCATGTGTTTGACAATAGTTCCGTGAATGCCCAGAGGTACAGGCAGGAGGTCCTAGAGCCCTATGTGCGTCTTTTCAGGGGCGCTGTTGGCCCTGAGTTCATTTTTTTGGACGACAATGAGCGTCCACATAGGGCTCTCATGGTTGATGAGCATCTGGAAAGCGAGGATATTCAACGAATGGATTGGCCAGCCAAATCCCCTGACCTGAATCCTATTGAACATGCTTGGGATGCTCTTGGGAGAGCTATTGCGATGGGCCAACCTCCCCCCAGAACCATTCTGGAGTTAAAAATTACTCTGGTGGAAGAATGGGAGGGTCTTCCACAAGTCATCCTTAACTCCCTTATTAACAGCATGCATACTCGTTGTGCATGCTGTCTGTCAGGGGTGACCATACACCATACTAGTGGCAACACACACTGTACAAGCCTCACTTTTATTGTCATCTTTCATCCTTAAGTTCAGACTACATTGGATTTATTGGCAATAGGTCTTGCCAGTGAATGGCACTTTCATTTTTATTTTGCATACTTTATTATCATGGAATAAGCTATATCCATACCAAATTTCATTTATTTATATTCAGTATTTTTTGAGATATTTGGAAAAATGTCTTCCATTTCTTAATTTTGTCCACCAGTGTATTTTACAGTTTTCTTTTTGCCTTGGTATTAATATTTAGTTACGCTACGTTTCGTTTTTCTTCCCCCAGTCAAGAGACAAGAAAGTACGTCTAAGTGAAGAAATTGCGTTCGGGTGATCTTTTAGTTGAGGTCTCCGAAAAAAACAAGTTGTATATTATCCATTTGCACAAACATCTGCTCATTTACAGTATCTGTCTCCCCTCATAAAACACTCAACACTTAACGAGGTGAAATATCAGAACTCCTCGATGATGCAGAGGAAACTATCGCAGAAGACTTAAAAGAACAACATGTAACTGCCATCCGTAGGATTAAGATAAGTAGAGATGGTAAACTTGTCCAAACGAAACATCTAATCCTTACTTTTGACATACCGAAACTACCATCTTCTGTAAAACTTGCCTGGCATAACTGCCCCTTACGACCATATGTGCCAAACCCATTACGGTGCTTTCAGTGCCAAAGGTTTGGACACTCTAAAACATCCTGTCGTAGCAAGACTATTTGTACTCATTGCTCTGGTTTTTACCATAGTGACATCCTGTGAGCTCAAAGCTCTTTGCATTAACTGCAAGGGTGTGCATGCAGCATACTCCAGGAGTTGTCCAAAATGGTTGCAAGAGAAAGAAATACAAAGTGTCAAAGTATTGAAAAACGAAGCTCGGTGAATAGTTTTTAAGCCTACTAATTTTTCACTTAGCTCTATCAGTACGCAAACGGACCCTTTACCTTTATCTTCCATGCAACCATATCTACCTCCTCATGCAACCATATCTCAAACAGATTTAAACCATTTGATAGTTCAGTTACCTTCGTCTTTTATTTTTCTCGGAGATTTCAATGGTCACAGTGAATAATGGGGCAGTTCCGCCTCTAACGAACAAGGCCGTAAAATTGAACAACTCATCCACGATCATAATCTCCGTTTGCTTAATAAAGGCGAAGAAACCTACTTCCACATACCTTCACGAATCTTTCATTCCATTGGTTTAGCATTTTGTTCACTAAATCTCGTACCTTTAAACTTTTCAGTGATCGACGATCTTCATAACGGTGATCATTTTCCTCTCATTATATCATATTCTGCCTCTGTTCCCGTGAGTTCACGACCATCAACTTTCATCGAGCTAACTGGCCTCTATCTACCCAGGGCTAAAGAGAATAGAAGGGCTGGTTCACTCCTTTGAAGTAGCTCTCGCCGCGCCAATCCTCCGATTTTTTCTAGTGACGCCTGTATTAAATTTAGACCGGATGATACAAACAATATTAAAAATGTAATTACGATGAGATACTTAGGGGTGACCCTCGATCCAGGTCTGACATGGATTCCACACTTAAACGATATTAGAGACAGAATTACAGGTTTTAATCAGGGAATTAGGAGAGTCGCCAGAGCTACATGGGGTCTCAGACCACAATTGTTGAAACGCATATATCTCCAGGCAAGTGAAAGAATTATACTTTACGCCGCCAGTGTCTGGTACAGAAATACTAGGAGAATTAACGAAAAATTAAACAGTATCCAGCGAATACCACTCTTAACCATCACGAAGGCCTATGCTACAACGAGCACAGAGGCAATCCAGATACTGGCGGGTGTTATGCCAATTGGTTTGAAAATCGTGGAGGACATCTTTTGCAAAAGGGTGAAGTGGGGCTGGAGACTCGAGGACATAAATTATACTCTACCAATTGATCTTGATCATAACATAGATTTCGAGAAACCAGCCCTAGGGCATCCTTCAGATTACATTGCTTTGCCCTGGGGATATAGCAGCCCTAAAGATCAGGGAGTGGAGATCTACACTGATGGCTCTCGGATGGAGGCAGATTATCCGAATAAATTCAGGACTTCACACGCAATGATAGTTAAGAACAACGGTATCACGATTTTCAAAGCCTCCACCAGAGTCACTGATAACACCAACATATTTATTGCAGAGCTTTTGGCAATCAAGTCTGCCCTGATATGGCTACGTCAACATGATATTACACATGCAACGATTTTTTCAGACTCACTATCATCCCTCCAGGCCCTGGCTGACCCAGAACCCAGTTCCAAACTCATAGAAGAGATCAAAAAAATTTGGAATAAGAACACTATTTTGAACTGGGTAAAAGCACATGTGGGGATCCAGGGCAATGAGGAGGCAGACAGGGCAGCAAAGGAAGCCATTGGTTCTGACAGTGTGGATCTCCAGGTTCTGAAGACCCCCAAACAAGCTAAAACCGAAATCAAACAATATTTAATGGCAAGGTGGAAAACCAATTGGGAAAATTCTGAGAAAGGCAGGCATACATTTAAATTCATTAAGACCCCGTCAACTACAAGGTTGCAAACTAATTTCTATTTTAACCAATTTCTAACGGGGCACGGAGTGTTCGGAGTACACCAAAACAAATTTTTTAATAAATCAGATACTTGCTCTAACTGTAACCAAAGACAAACCATAGAGCATCTTTTATATTATTGTGATCGGTACCGAACACTCCGAAAAAATTATTTCTTCCAAAAAACAGACCAACAAATTTTTGCAGACAAGGTTTGTAGAGAAATTATCAAGATTATCATTAAAACTACTCTTGAGGAACAAATGGAATTAATAAACAAAATTGACAATAACTAAAATTTTAACCTGCTTAATCTAACCACCTTGCCAAAACCTTTTTTTTTTTTTTGGACCACATTGCCATTTTAGTGCTTTAATTTGACTTTTAACTTGACTTTGCATTTTATACATGCTTTAGGTTTGTTTACAACCTTTGGATTTTAATACATTTGGTATTTTACATTGCGATTGTATTTTATACACGGTTTTTAGATTGTTATACACCCCTTTTAACTCTTCCCTTTTGGTATCCATTGGTATTTATCCTCTGTTTTTTGTACTTTAATTGAATTTACTCTGCTTTACTTGTTGTTCTTCATTTTAACTACCTGTTACTACTTCACCCTCACTATTTTGGTTCCACCAGCAGGATTCAAGCTGGCTTGATTGGCTGGATCCTTTCAATGCCCTGTTGGCAAGTGTATACATCAGTGATTTTGTCTCAGTTTTAACTTTTCAATTTTAGCACTATATTCATTTATGTCATTTTATCCTTTCACCTTTTGGCGGTTTTATGAGTTGTATTTACGGCTGTTTTTGGTGAATTGTTAGATTTTTTGTCTTGTATTGAGGGGTCCACCAGCTCTGGCTCACAGCTCACTCAGTTTTTACTGGTTGTCTCAGGGTTCATAATTTTTGTATTTTAAATATATATAATTTTTGTATTTTATTTATATAAGGGTTAATAAGTGTTGTATTTTATATATTCATATAATTTTTGTATTTTATTTATATAAGGGTCTGTTGACCTTATAAATGATCCATTGTATTTGGCGTATGGGCCTATTGGCCTAGGCCGCTGTATATATAATAAATTCTCTTTAGCCCTGCTATTTACCCAGCTTGCTCAGATTACGGAGGATATGATAACACATAATACTGTAAGTGCTGCTGTTAATAATATAACATCTGTTATTCTCCAAGCGGCAGAAGAAAGCATACCAAAGTCGTCAAATTCGCTTCCTCGCCAACGCAAGCCGTGGTGGAATGAGGAATGCGCAGTTGCCTGCAAAGAAACTCCAGAGAAACATCTTCCTCCGTTATCCTAACACTGTTAACCTTTAGGCGTTTAAACGGGCAAAAGCTATAACACAAAAGAACAGACGCAAAAGTAAAAAAGAATCTTGGTCCCATTCTCGTCCATATCATCATCTACATCTCCCAGACAAGTCTGGTAGAGAGTAAATCGAGCTAACGGCATATATCGCGAATTTCCAATTCCAGTATTTGAGAAAAACGGTACCATTTATGCTTCTCCTAACGACGTTTGTAATATGCTTGGTGATGCATTTGCTACTATCTCTTGTTCAGAGAGTTACGGCCCAGCATTTCCCCACCATAAGCAAAACGTCGAAAGGAATAATATAAACTTTGATTCACGCCGCTTCTGGCAATATAAAAGTGATTTTAGTTTTACCGAACTACAGAAAACACCATATCGAAGTAAAAACACGAGCCCTGGTCTCGACGGTATCACGTATCACATGCTCCGCCACTTAGATCGGACGTCTTTGTCAAATGTTCTTGTTCTCTTTAACAGAATATGAACGGAACAAGTGTATCCATCTAGCTGGCGTGAAGTAATTGTGATACCTATTTTAAAACCAGGTAAAAACGCTAATGATCCAGTTAATTATCGCTCGATAACGTTGACCAGCTGCATTGGTAAAACGTGTGAGCGGATGGTTAGCTCTCGAATAGTTCATCACATCGAAACCAAGCGTGTCATACCAGAGCTTCTAAGTGGCTTCCGTAAGGGCCAATCAACAGTAGACAATATTGTCGAATTGGAATCCAGAATTCGTAATGCCTTTGTCCGGTGGCATCACCTTGTCTCTGTCTTCTTTGACATTGAGAAAGCATATGATCGGACTTGGCGTAATGGAATTCTCAAGACACTTTTTGACATTGGACTCCGCGGTCGTTTGCCTATTTTCATCAGAAATCTATTGCTGAGGCGCTATTTCCGTCTGAAACTTGGATCTACATTTTCTGATCTTTACATCCAGGCGGAAGGCGTCCCACAAGGTAATGTTTCAAGTGTCACATTATTCATCCTACATATTTCAATTGTTTTAAACATATTGCCACCTACTGTCTCTATGTTGACGATCTGCACATCCCTCGTTCAGGATCCAACATGAGAGTCATCGAGTGGCAACTGCAATTAGCTGTGAACAAGATTTCAGACTGGTGTGATCAGAATGGTCACACTTTTTCGCCATCTAAAAGTTGCTGTATCCATGTCTGTCGTAAACCCGCGCTTCATAATGACCCTGACATCTCCGATCAAAACATTAATGTACCAGTCGTGCCACACACGAAATTTTTAGTAGTAATTTTCGACAATAAACTGACTTTCATACCTCATATCAGGCTATTACGTAAACAATGCGAACAGAAACTGAACATTTTGCGTGTACTGTGTAATACATTTTGGGGGGCTGATCGCCTAGCCCTGCTACGCATATATCAAGCGCTGATACTTTCACGATTTGACAATGCATGTGCTGTTTATGGCTCTGCAACCTCCTCCAATCTACGTATCTTAGATACGGTACACCATTCAACTCTTCGCATTTGTTCAGAAGCTTTTCGTACATCCGCCGTTGAAAGTTTATACGTTGTCTGCAATCAAGTACCATTAGATTTACATCGCATGAAGCTATCTCTCAGTTATTACTTTCATATCCTGTCCTCTAGATATCATCTACTAAAGAATTATGTTATTTCATCAAGCTTGGAGAGATTATATGCAGATAGATCTTCTTACATCCGTCCATTTCATGCTCGCATGCGTTCACTTAAACTTTGACATTTCCGAATCACCATCGCAATGAATGGGATCATTTTCTCATACCTCCATGGAACTTCAAACCATATCAATTTTATTCCCCTTTTATGATGTATAGATAATGTTGAGTCCCGCAGTGGACTGATCGTTAAGACACGGTTCCCAGCAGATCACCGAAGTCAAGCATCACTGGCTACGGTCAGTGTGCGGGTGGGTGACCACTTGGATCAGCCTGCGTAGGGACCGAGGGTGTGCGGTATTGGTCCTCGTTAAACTGTTCTACCGTAAAGTGCTTGACTTCGCGTGCAGGTCGTCGGGCTACCGAAGCGAGGGTGCCATCCCCTCTGCAGAGGATCAAAATTGTGATGGCATGTCTTCGGATCATCCTCAGGGATGCTTCCCAGACCGTCGCCAATAGCCCATTGTGCAGCTCTAGCGCGACGTAAATGAACAACAGCAACAACAGATAATGTTGATCCCATCATTTATCAACAATTCTTCACTTCTCATCGTCACCAATATTCAGAGTATGTACCTTTGCTTACTGACGGATCAAACTCTGCGGGATATGTAGGCTGTGGTGTCATCATCAATGATGATGCCTATAGCTACGTCATCCCAGATATTTGTACCGTCTTTACTGCTGACGCTGCTGCCATCCTCGACTTGTCTGATTAGGTTGCAAGATCTGCTACCTCTGTTTTAATTCTATCTGCACCTTTCTCGGACACAAAAACTTATCTTCGACAAGTTCATCACATCTCTATGGCAACAGCAATGGGATCTTAAAATTTATAACAAATTGCCCGCAGTAAAAACAGATTTTAACCTTTATCCTGTATTTCGCCGATGTTAAGTTAAACCGTCTCCGAATCGACCACTCTCGGCTTACCCACTTACATTCGCTATTTGGAGAACCTCCTCCCCAATACAGCACTTGTAAAGTTTTACTCACTGTTCATCATATTTTAATCATTTGCCCTTGTTTTAACCGTCATCGTCTTACCTTTTTCAGTTGTTCCATTTGAACTCTGCTTGATTTGTTAGGTAACTACCATCATCCTAACATTTTTTATTTTCTTCGCGCGATTGGTCTTTTATACTGTGTACAACTGTTTTATCCTATTCACAATTTTATCAGATTTTATTAAGCTTTAAATGCTTTATGATGTTTTACTGAATGTACATTTTATCTGGTTTCTATTCTATTCATATACGTCTATTTCATTGCATTCAGTTATATAAATTCCGTGGGATTTTTAGTAAGAAAAATTTGTAGCACACATTTAACTAAGATTTACTTTAAAACCGTTTGTTTGGCGCAGCATGTCCTTCTGTGGTTTTTGTGCCATTATACCTTATATTCAATTCAATTATATAACACTTCATCTAGTTCTATTTAGCTTATGATTGGCTGAAATCAAACTATACATACCACTTCTGGTCTTTAATCCGATTAACGAATTCTGTACCATATTTAAGAAGAGTCTTACTGACTCTAGCGAACTCTTTCTCTGTTCGCCGGTTCTGAACAGGTTAATTCTCTATCATTTTAAAAAATAATTTTATCAAAATCGCGGCAATTAGCATTCTAGCTTAAACAGACCCGTTGTGTCATGTTTTTACATTCATGATCTTTATTTAATTTCTGCTGTCTTTTTTCAAATCAGCTTTGTTTTTCGCGTTCACATATTTTGTGTCTAGAGTATGAGTGTCTTTGTTTTGAGTGCTGGATTGATTTTGATATTTTCCTCTTAAATATTTAGAAATAAATATTTTTCATATATTCAGATTAATATTTTTTTCAAACTTATAAATAGATCTACAATGAGATTTATATATTTTTTAATATTGCATACGCCTATAAAGTTTCATATAAACACATTTAGATGAACCTAGTATTTCATTTGAATGTGAAGGCTTGGGACAAGTTTTTTTTAAATTTTGATATTATCATATTTCTCTAAAATTATAAGCAGATTTGTTCCACCTAAATGAAGTTTTCATAATAAGTATTTGATTTAATAAAGTTATGGCTTAGAACAGTAAACAATGGTGTAAATAAATTGTTTTCATTCTTTCTTTGAACATATTTGTGAATCAAAATGTGAAATTGTGCATCAAAAATAGATATGTATCCAATACATCAATCAAAAAAATACCCAATATTTATATTAATGTGATATTTTCCGACCATGATTTTTGCACACATTTATCAACTGTATAATCGATAACATATCTGATGGAAAATCAAGTTTGAAATCTAATATAATAAAAGAGAAAGCAGATTTTTAAAACTTTATTTTAATACATAATTGGTCTAATAGATCATTTCGTTTTGTTGAACCACAATAATCGTGGAAGACATGGCGAAATATTCAGGAAAATAAATACCCAAAAAACTGGAAAATCTGTAAAATAAAAATGTATCTTAATTATTTAATCTAAAAGAAAAGTAATTTTATTTCACCTAACAATTTGAAGTATATATATATATATATATAGTGTATATT